AAGAAGAAGAAGAAGAAGAAGAAGAAGAAGAAGAAGAAGAAGAAGAAGAAGAACAAAAAGAAGAAAGTAGATTATTTTGAAAACTCATAATCTCTCTGTAGGGGTGCTATATGCAAATGGTTGCATGTCAGTTCTTCTTCAATATTTGGAATGAGATTCTCACCTCTATCTGTCTTTCCAGCTTGCTCTCAAAACTCGCTTCAAGCGCCTTCAAAGTTGCCGTCATGTTCTGGAGAACGTCTTGTTTTTCTTTAAGACTATTTTTCCGGTTCTCCTCTTTGGCTGCTGCTACGTATTCCTTGATGTCGTGCTTTTGTTGCAAACACTGTCTCTTGTTCTCTTCTACTATTTCAAATAGGATCTGAACAGTGACGTCACTCTTACGAGTGATGGAAGTCGGTAGGCTTTTCTGCCACCCGATACTGCCGTGGGAATTCAAAATAGTGACATCACAACGGTACACACCGATTGTATCATTCGTTGCCAATGGCCAAGAAAGCCGCATATAGCTGTTAGCCCCGGAGACAATACTGCCCGTAGCGGTCACATCTTTAGCTGTTAGTCTGACGTCCACATCATCGTCGCGAAGTTCCGCAACACTGGACCATCCGCTCAAATGTTTTTTCTGGATTCTCATCAACAGGATTTCCGAAATGTCCGGCTGCTGATAGGGGTTGTAGCAGTTAAGAGAAACTTGTGCTGTCTTACCGATTTCGATTTCTTCTGACGTAACATTGAGACGCCATGCTTTTGAACACATTATCAGGGTTGCTACCAAAATAATGTTGGTAAATATCCAGGTGGCGTCCATGTTACTTGTACTGCTGGTTATTCTGTTCACAAAGATCTTCACGTACTTTTTCCGAGAAGTCTACAGGAAATATTGCGACAAAACATTTAATCAGGAAAACATAGATTAGAGTTTAGAATTAACAAGCCATTTTTCTTTAATTCCATTTTCTTAATCTCTGGTAGAGATTGCATGTGATCCAGAATATTTATTATATTAAATACAAATTGTACGTCTACTTGTTAAAAGAATGAGACCGTTATCTCTTTCTCCTGTGAAAAAAAATTCTTAAAAAGGGCTTAAAACAATTTAACAGCTAGAGGACGATAAATTTAACAAAGCAAGAAAGATATACAGGGTGATCCAAAAAAACACTTTACAACTTGTTTTGTAAATATCTTCCCCCATACTGAAGTCTCGCGTTTCAGATTTGAACATAACGTTTGGAAGCCAAAAGGAATTTTTCTGATATGTATTTTAGATAAGTCCATTGAATGGTTTTGCTCTATATAGCACATAAAAAAACACAACCCATTTTCAACCTTGTCGCCATTTTCATAGCATGGTGCACCAGTTCACATTAGGCCTACCTCTAAAAGTTGCAACAATCGCGCCTTATTGCAAGCTACAGCAGTCTAACAAGTCAACAGAAGTCTGCAGGTATTATTTTTCCCAACTTTTGTTTGCCTGCTGAGATCATGGCTACGTTTAGTAAAAAGCAGAGAGCTTTTTGTATTGAACTTTACCTCTCCACAAACTCACCATCCCTGACATTTCGTAAGTTCTGCGCACGGCACGGAGAGAATGCTTAGGTGCCCTCAAGACCTTTGGCGTCATGAGTAGAGAAGTTCCGTCAGTTTGGATCTAGAGCAAATCAGAACTAAAAAGTTCTTTACAAAAACGACCACTTCAGGTCGAACACGCACCATGCGCAGCCCTTGAAACGTCACCAGAGTGCAGATTTCAGTAGCCGAGTCCCATGAGACGTCTATCCATAGATGATCTGCAGCTAGGACTTTCCTACACATCAACAGTCTGCATTCTCATGGCAGATCTTAACCTACGACTATACCATGTTCGTCTGCGCTAGGCCGAGATGACATGGATCAGAGCATGTCAATTTGATCCTAATTCCTCGATTGTCTTGTAAAGAGGGATCATTTCCTCGATGACTTTTGGTTTAGTGCAAAGCCCATTTTCACCCTGCGGGATATGTTAACTCCAAAAAATGATGTCTATTGGGCACCCCACTCTATTGTCTCTAGAAGCCACTTCTTAGTGAACATGTACAGTGTATGTGGCTTTAAAGACTCATGGTTTAACAGGTCCTTGTGTTAGGGTGTCATTGAACATTTCGAACGAAGAGTTAAAAATGTGTCGAGTCCAAAGGAGGGAATATGGAGCACTGCTTCTAGGAATTTCAAAAAGAAATCATTAGGTAAACGAAATTAAATATTGTTTAGATGTCACAGGGATGGAAATTTAATGTCAGAGAGAAAATAAAGGAAACTGTCAGCTAATCTTTTCACAACTTCATTTACAAGATTTTTAAACATTGGTGAACTTTGCGCTTTTGGGTGACGTATTCCATATTTTAGCTGAAGTCATTTTTGGGAACTTACAAATGTTACACTAAACACCTGAACGGCACACTTTAAACATTTTCAGTTTGTTAGGAATTAATTTAGAATTTTGCCCTAGTGGAGGCCAAACTCTACTATATCGATTTTGAACCACTCAGGTATCTTTAACGTGCACATCTTGCATGCGGGGCCTCCGAGATTGTTTGCCCTTATCCGAGAAGGTTAGGTGTTAGATCTTACCTACCCTAAGATCAGCGGGTGCGGCTAAAAGACATCAGTAAGAAGGAGATGAAGGGTAGCAGTAGAAAGGAAGCAGAACGAGTCAGGAGGTAGCAAAAAGGGGTTGGGGCAGAAAGAGGAGACGTTAGTGTTAGAAAATGGTTAGAGAGCAGGAAAGTAGGTGAAAGGAGAGCATTTCGAGAAGAAAATGTTCTGTGGCTGTCGGGTTTCGAACCCGAGAGCTATTGAATGAGATGCGAACACTGTAAACTCTAGACTATGAGAGCGCCATCTGAAATGAAGAAGAAGAAGAAGAAGAAGAAGAAGAAGAAGAAGAAGAAGAAGAAGAAGAAGAAGAAGAAGAAGAAGAAGAAGAAGAAGAAGAAGAG